TCTTTCTCCCTTTGTGTTGCAAATTGAATTGGGAAAGGAAGGGAAGATAAAGACAATGAATACTTTGAAATTGAATAACAGAAAATTAACAAATGGTTACCTAATTTCAAAGACAATGTAAAAAACAGAGTCTACCCTAGTCTTAAACACAACAGTATGCTTTCAAAAGAGCACTTCCCAAAGAATTTGATCATTAGCCCATATTTGCTCTCTGTCCAAAACGACAGGAAAAAAAGGAAAAAAAATGGACCGTGACCCACCACAGGATTTTTAAGATTAATTGGAACTGCTAACCTCTGTCGGGAACATCCCTGCTCAGGGGTGGATTTAGGGGAGGGAGGCGGGGGGCGGGGGACCACAGCCCCTCTTTGTTCTTGTGTTGTCAAAAAAAAAGACCAACCATCTTTAGAGCGGATATTGCATTCAGTTTTGGGGGTACGTGGTCTGCACTCTGCCGCAGTTTCTTTGGTCCCCCTATCTGAATTTTCTGGATCCATCCCTGCAAAGACAGGGTTCGTACTCTTTAAAACTCTTCAATTCCATGACTTTCCATGACCTTTTCCATGACTTTTTCTTGCTTTCCACGACCTTTTTTCCACTTTCGAAAATTCTCAAAACTCTCCTTGTCAAAGGAGTCAAATTTGTATTTTTTGTAAATTATCTCTGGCGTTTGCCAAAATGTGTTTAGTTCAAACTGCCCTGAGAGCATCGGTGTGGGAGGCTAATTGCTCGGTAGCTCGCCTTTATTTTATTCTGTGCAGTGATGAACATACCAGACTTAACTATTATTTTCCATGACTTGCATGACCAACTTTTAAATTCCACGACTTTCCAGGCCTGGAAAATGAAATTCTTGATTTCCATGACTCCCCAGGTTTTCAATGAAGAACAGGATTCTGTTTGGTGTACTTACCCTTCAACACCAATATCTGGCATGTGATCTGATGACATGACTCTGTGCTCAAGATGTTCGTTATTTTTGCTCCTTCCTGATCTGCCATACTTTATGTAATCTTGTATGATGCCAGTTATTTCCTCATCATCTTCCAGGAATTGGGAGTAATGGGATGCAGTGTTGGTGGAATGAGAAGTTTTAGTGGAAAACGGAGTCTGTGATCTGAACCTCCTGTGGGAATTATGACCACTGGAAAGAAAATGACTGATATTAAAACATTATTTTCAGATCAAAGGATTTCTTTGAAGCTTCAGGGTACATTGTATTGGATTTTGCAAGAGCAAGAGTGATCTAAAAATAACTTGAGTGAGTATGACAAACTCTCTCACCCTTCATCCTCTCTTGGTAGCATACATTTTACTCTTAATCACCAGGGACTGGCTTTTGTTCAACAGTGTTATTCCAAATTTTCATATTACTGTGATTCTTAAATGGTAAGGATAAAATCTACATACATGTACAAGTCAAGTGGCCCATCAGGCCGGCACGTATCTCCAGTTTCTCTACCCCCTGGATGGGATGCTAGTCCATCGCAGGGTTACCCCCAAGCATTAACTTCACTGGTACCCATTTATACACCTGGGTGAAGAGAGGCTCTGTGAGAAAAAGTGTCTTGCCCAAGAACACAACACAATGTCCCTGGCTAGGGTTTGAACCTGGACCATTCAATCCAGAGGAGAGTGGCACTGTGCTTCAGATTCTTAGATGCCTTTAACTAAAACTCTCACCTAGATTTTTTAAGCTCCTCAAGGTAGTAATCAGGATCAGCTCCTGGCTGAACATGTTTATCAGCTGTCAGGTTTTCTGAGTCAAGGTAATGAAGAAATCTCAAAAATGTCTTGTCCCTCTTTTGAGGGTTTTCTCTCCCTGATGTTTCATTTGGATAGTTTGTTCCTTCCCAGGTTTCCTCATCCTACATAAAGCAATATAAACAACAGTAATTAATTTTAATTTTGTCATTTAACAAACACAGTCAAGGCTCTCATTAAGTATCAAGTCACCTGTAGCTTCACACCAGTAACAAACATGTTACCTTTTGAGTGAATTGCATCAACTACAGGCAATTTCACCCGTAAAATCAAGACCAATCAAGGGCCCATCAAACATACTCAGCCATGGCAGGTGCTAAAGGTTTTGGCCCTTAATAATGACAGCCCTGACATCTTCCAAAACAGTTGTTTTAATAAGCTGAGGTCTTGCTGTACAAGCTTTTCCTCTAAAGTCATTAGTATTGGGCTAATGGCATTGAATATATCATATCAGGTTAAAGTTATTCTTCCCTCTAAACACTGAGTAGTTCATATTTCCTGGCCACTTGATCAAGTTGATATATTCAATAAATAGCGAACATTGTATACAGTGGAATCCTGATTTCTCAAACCTCTGAGTGAAAAGTAAATTGGTTTGAAAAATCCAGTAGTGTGGGAAATTGGGGGTGAAATTACAGTGTTCAACTGAAGAGAGTGAAATGACTTTTGGTTCCATATTGGGAGATTTGAAAAATTGAAGGCTTGAAAAATTGGAATTCCACTGTGCTTTGGACAGTTCCTTTACATTAATTAAGTAACACAGAATACACAGAACAAAAGCACAATAATCGTACCTCTTTTCCAAACTCAAGCACTGAGTTGGTCAAATTCCCCAATGTTCTTAGCTTGAGGCCTGCCTCATAAACGTTTTCCTTGTTAATGTGGGTCTCTCCACTTCCATGGTGACAAAGATCCTCGCTTGGGGTGAAAAGTATAATTGCACCTTTGCGAGTGACAAACGTCTTTGGGAGAGCAAGTTGTCCATCTTCCACTGAAAAACTGCCAGCTGATTGGGCAGACTTGTTAAGAGAGGACGTCTGATTAAGTAACTGGGGTAACAGAGGTTCTATAGGGGACTGGAAAAGACAAAAAGAACCATAATTTAGCCTACTTGAATTGGTTAGTAACAGGCCAGTAACTTATCATTATCAGTGACTGACCTAGGCAAGGGGCAAGGGCTCCCTTATCACTATGGTCCCTCCCACTTTTTGAGTGAGACCAACTTGATTTTACCCCCTCCCCTGTCCTGTTGAGCGCTCTGAAGAATCAGGTCCAAAACAGGGGTGAGGGGTGAGAGGTGTTGGATAATCCAGAATATCACTCTGATTAGCCCAGCCACCTGATCAGCATGACAACCACTCCGGTTAGCCTGAATAATGCTCACTTTATCTTGCACCTCACAGCCCTTACCAATATTTTAGACCTGCCATTCTAAAGAACTCAATTGTTAACTGTAAATCTACTGTTTTCCCTTTTAAATCATTAATTTTGCTGTAAAATGGTTTGACTGCTCATTTGAGATTAAAGACGTTGCAACATAGTTAACTGATTGCAAATCTGATACCTTGATGCTTACTACTTTAGAAAGCCTTTTCGCGATGCACTTTCCCGACACTTCATTAATTTTACGACAGAGAAAAACTAATTGCAGTCGCGTTTGTATTTATTATCCATTATATATGTCTGTACGTCAAGCTTGTTCAAACAGCATTAATTACATCAGACCTTGAAGCCATTAATTAAAAGGACTATTGGAAAATTGACACGG